AAGATGTCTCAGGCGAGACGGGCCGGTGTCTCGGGCGAAACGTGCTGCGAGGAAGTCTCAGGCGAAACGGGCCGGACCACCTCAAGCGCGGCGTCTCAGGGCTCCGAGTTGCGGGGGCCTCGTGGTGCCTCCTGGGGCCTCCTGGGGACCTCCTGGGCCTTCCTCCTGAGCCTCCTGTGGCCTCCTGAACTCCACCTGGGGTTTCCTGAAGCCTCTTGGGGCTCCCAGGGGGGACATCTAACCTGTGGCCGTTTGGGCCTCTCCAAATAGAGGGGGGGGGGCATAAGAGCAGGAAAAATCAACGAATCCACACCGGATGTGTATTGACTTGACACGTTCTGATAGGCGGCCTCCTGGGGCCTCCTGGGAGCCTCCTGGGAATCTCCAGGAGACCCCTGGGGCCTGTCCTGGGCGTCCTGTGGCCTCCCGGTGTCCTGGGGATATCTAACCTGTGGCCGTCGGGGCCCCCCAAAATGGAGGGGGGGGGGGCACAAGAGCAGGAAGAATCAACGAATCGACACCGGATGTGTATTAACTTGACACGTTCTGATCGGGGGCCTCCTGGGGCCTCCTGGGGGCCTCCTGGGAATCTCCTGTGGACCCCTGGGGCCTGTCCTGGGCGTCCTGCGGCCTCCTGAAGCTCTCTGGGGCCTCCTGGGGCTCCCAGGGTCCTAGGGAGGATATGTAACATGTGGTCTTCTGGGCCCCCAGGCTGGACCAACCTGTTGCGCAGCATCTGGGAGCTCAGAGTTGCGAGAATGTCTTGTGCGAAACAGGCCGGACCACCTTGCGCACGGCAACTCAGAGCTCAGAGTTGCAAGGATGTCTCAGGCGAGACGGGCCGGACCACCTCGCGCAGGGCATCTCAGAGCTCAGAAGTTCGAGGATGTCTCAGGCGGGCTCCCAGGGTCCCAGTGAGGATATGTAACATGTGGTCTTCTGGGCCCCCAGGCTGGACCACCTCTTGCGCGGCATCTGGGAGCTCAGAGTTGCGAGAATGTCTTCTGCGAAACAGGCCGGACCACCTGGCGCACGGCATCTCAGAGCTCAGAGTTGCGAGGATGTCTCAGGCGAGACGGGCCGGACCACCTCGCGCAGGGCATCTCAGAGCTCAGAAGTTCGAGGATGTCTCAAGCGAAACGGGCCGGACCACCTCTCGCGCGGCATCTCCGAGGTCAGAGTTTCGAGGATGTCTCAGGCGAAACGGGCCGGACCACCTCGCGCAAGGCATCTCAGAGCTCAGAGTTTCGAGGATGTCTCAGGCGAAACGGGCCGGACCACCTCTCGCACGGCACCTCGGGGCTCAGAGTTTCGAGGATGTCTCAAGCGAAACGGCCCGGACCACCTCTCGCGCGGCGTCCCGGAGCGCAACTTTTCGAGGATGTCTCAGGCGAAACGGCCAATCCCGGCCAACTCAGAAACGAGAGTTGTGAGGATGTCTCAAGCGAAACGGCCCGGACCATCAAATTTTTGTGAGGATGTCTCTGCTCCGACTTCCCTCGGCCGGAGTTAGCTTCTATCACAACAGCACCCCGTTCAGCAAGCTGTTTGGGGAAAAAGCAATCCTTAGGATAAGATCGAGAAGTCCGCGGACGCACGTCTCGAAACAAACATCTAGACGTCGGATGTCTGGGGATGGCGGGAGGCAAGGCGCGCATGGCGGATGCTGAGGCGGCAAAATGACGGAGACGGCGACGGGGAGGCGGAGGCAGAGGCACAGCAGCGAAAGGTGAGAGGCGTGAGGAGGAAGGAGGGAAGAGTAGGCAGGCGGGAGGCAAGAGGAGGGAGGTGGGAGAAATGAGAGAGGATTCAGGCAGAACGGGGCACACCATCTCGTGCGCAGCATCTCGAAGAACCCTGACGAAGAACCAGTCCCGGGGACGAGATCGAGAGGTCCGCGGGCGCACGTCTCGAAACAAAAATCGTGACGTCGGATGTCTGCGGAGGGCGGAAGGCAGGGCGCGCATGGCGGCATCTCGGAGCTTCGCATTATGAGGATGGCTCGGGAGAAACGGGCTGGACCACCTCGCGTGCGGCATCTCGGAGCTCAGTATTGGAAGGATGCCCCAAGCGAAACGGGCCGTTCTACCTCTCGCTTCCCGTTAAGCCCTCTCATGCAACTCCATTCCTCATCCCTCCTCCTCCTCCTCCTTCTCGTCCTCCTCCTTCTCCTCCTGCCTGCTCCCTCCTCCTCCTCCTCCTCCTCCTCCGGCACGTTTTGAGACGTCGCTAAAAGGAATATAAAAATCCTGTTTGGGGAACCCTGTCTCGGAGCCCAGAGTTGCGAGGATGTCCCAGGTCGCACCTGGTCGACGAGTAAGCTGGCGGGTCGGCACTGTGAGAGGCTCCACCGCCATGCTGTGAACTCAGAAGCAACTTTAAGAGGAAGCGGGGGAGGGCGCGGAAGCGGGGGGGCATGTCGTGATGGTTCCCTCGGGCATGATATCGAGAGGTACGCGGGCGCACGTCTCGAAACAAAAATCGTGACGTCGGATGTCTGCGGAGGGCGGAAGGCAGTGCGCGCATGACGGATGCTGAGGCGGCAGAAACGACGACGGCGGGGACGGGGAGGCGGAGGCAGAGGCGCAGCAGCGGGAGGCGGGAGGCGGGAGGAGGGAGGAGGGAAGAGGAACCAGGCGGGAAGTGGGAAGAGGAGGCGGGAGAAGGAATGAGAGAGGTTGTGATTGGAGCTCCTGTGCTACGAAACGTCTCAGGCAGAATGGGCCAGACCATCTCTCGCGCAACATCTTCGAGCCTCGCATTGCGAGGATGGCTCAATCGAAACGGGCCGGACCACCTCGCGAGCGACATCTTGGAGCTCAGTATTGGAAGAATGTCTCAAACGAAACGGGCCAGACAATCTTTCGCACACGTTTTGACAAGTCCACATCGCACTCGTTTCCCGTTAGGTCCTCTCCTGCAACTCCCTTCCTTCTCCCTCCTCCTCCTCCTCCTCCTCCTCCTCCTCCTCCTCCTCCTCCTCCCCCTCCTCCTGCCTGCTCCCTCATGCACATCATCCGCCTCCTCCTTCTCCCTTCCATCTCCTTCTCCTTCTCCTTCTCCTCCTCCTCCTCCTCCTCCTCCACCTCCTCTTCATCCCGAACGGCATCTCGGAGCCTAGAGTTGCGAAGATGTCTCCAGCGTAACGGGCCGGACCACCTTGAGCACGGCATCTCAGAGCTCAGAGTTGCGACGATGTCTCAGGCGAGATGGGTCCGGACCACCTCGCGCGCGGCATTTCGGACCCCAGAGTTGCGAGGATGTCTCGGGCAAACGTGCTGCGAGGAAGTCTCAGGCGAAACGGGCCGGACCACCTCGAGCGCGGCGTCTCAGAGCTCCGAGTTGCGGGGGCCTCCTGGGGCCTCCTGGGACCTCCTGGTGACCTCCTGGGGCTTCCTCCTGGGCCTCCTGTGGCCTCCTGAACTCCACCTGGGGTTTCCTGAAGCCTCTTGGGGCTCCCAGGGGGATATCTAACCTGTGGCCGTTTGGGCCTCTCCAAATGGAGGGGGGGGCACAAGAGCAGGAAAAATCAACGAATCGACACCGGATGTGTATTAACTTGACACGTTATGATAGAGGGCCTCCTGGGGCCTCCTAGGAGCCTCCTAGGAATCTCCTGGGGACCCCTGGGGTCTGTCCTGGGCGTCCTGCGGCCTCCTGGAGCTCTCTGGGGCCTCCCCCTCCTCCTGCCTGCTCCCTCATGCACATCATCCGCCTCCTCCTTCTCCCTTCCATCTCCTCCTCCTCCTCCTCCTCCTCCTCCTCCTCCTCCTCCTCCACCTCCTCTTCATCCCGAACGGCATCTCGGAGCCTGGAGTTGCGAGGATGTCTCCAGCGTAACGGGCTGGACCACCTCGCGCGCGGCATCTCGGACCCCAGAGTTGCGACGATGTCTCAGGCGAGATGGGCCGGACCACCTCGCGCAGGGCATCTCGGAGCCCAGAGTTGCGAGGATGTCTCCAGCGTAACGGGCTGGACCACCTCGCGCGCGGCATCTCGGACCCCAGAGTTGCGAGGATTTCTCGGGCAAACGTGCTGCGAGGAAGTCTCAGGCGAAACGGGCCGGACCACCTCGAGCGCGGCGTCTCAGAGCTCCGAGTTGCGGGGGCCTCCTGGTGCCTCCTGGGGCCTCCTGGGGACCTCCTGGGGCTTCCTCCTGGGCCTCCTGTGGCCTCCTGAACTCCACCTGGGGTTTCCTGAAGCCTCTTGGGGCTCCCAGGGGGGATATCTAACCTGTGGCCGTTTGGGCTCTCCAAATGGAGGGAGGGGGGGCACAAGAGCAGGAAAAATCAACGAATCGACACCGGATGTGTATTAACTTGACACGTTCTGATAGAGGGCCTCCTGGGGCCTCCTGGGAGCCTCCTGGGAATCTCCTGGGGGCCCCTGGGGCCTGTCCTGGGCGTCCTGCGGCCTCCTGGACCTCTCTGGGGCCTCCTGAGGCTCGCAGGGTCCCATGGAGGATATGTAACATGTGGTCTTCTGGGCCCCCAGGCTGGACCACCTCTTGCGCAGCATCTGAGAGCTCAGAGTTGCGAGAATGTCTTGTGCGAAACAGGCCGGACCACCTTGCGCCGGGCATCTCAGAGCTCAGAGTTGCGAGGATGTCTCAGGCGAGACGGGCCGGACCACCTGGCGCAGGGCATCTCCGAGCTCAGAAGTTCGAGGATGTCTCAGGCGAAACGGGCCGGACCACCTCTCGCGCGGCATCTCCGAAGTCAGAGTTTCGAGGATGTCTCAGGCGAAACGGGCCGGACCACCTCGCGCAAGGCATCGCAGAGCTCAGAGTTTCGAGGATGTCTCAGGCAAAACGGCCCGGACCACCTCTCGCACGGCACCTCGGGGCTCAGAGTTTCGAGGATGTCTCAAGCGAAACGACCCGGACCACCTCTCGCGCGGCGTCCCGGAGCGCAACTTTTCGAGGATGTCTCAGGCGAAACGGCCAATCCCGGCCAACTCAGAAACGAGAGTTGTGAGGATGTCTCAAGCGAAACGGCCAAAACCATAAAATTTGTGTGAGGATGTCTCTGCTCCGCCTTCCCTCGGCCGGAGTGAGTTTCTATCACAACAGCACCCCGCTCAGCAAGCTGTTTGGGGAAAAAAGACAAAGAAGAGTGCAGCGATGAAAGCAGGCGCCGCTGGGCGGCAAGGCGGTGCGGAGCGAAACGGCCAGTGAACGCTGCGCCCGTTCCTCCTCGAACTCCTCATCTCCTCCTCCCCGATGGCCCCTTCACCCTCGTATGGCCTGAATCTGAGTCCGCCACACCAGAGCACGCAGGTTGACACTCTGCCCGTGCCCGGAGACACGCGCGAAGACACGGAGAGAGACCACAGCAGCGAGGAGAGCAGGCGTCGGTGGGCGGCAGCGTGCTGCAGAGTGAGGCGGCCAGGGGATGCAGCGGCAGCTGCAGCTGATCTGGACCCCCCACTCCCTGGCGCGGGGAGCGCGCCAGGGGCGGCGCCGGAGGCGCCGCCGGGAGGCTCCAGCGCCGCTCCAAGAGATCTGCGCGGAGCTCAACTTTCTAACTTATAGTTGTGCAGGATTGTCTCCTTCGAGGGGCAGGATGTGGGAAGAGGAAGGAAGGGGAGCAGGAAGAAGAGGAGGGGGAGGAGGCGGAGGAGGAGGAGGAGGAGGAGGAGGAAGAGGAGGGGGAGGAGGAGGAGTAGGAGGAGGAGGAGGGAGGAGGAGGAGGAGGAGGAGGAGGAGGAGGAGGAGGAGGGGGAGGGAGGAGGGGGAGGGAGGAGGAGGAGGAGGTGGAGGAGGTAGAGGAGGAGAGGGAGCGGGAGGGGAGGCCAGAAGGAGGAAAAGGTAAGAAAAGGGAAGGACCCACTGAGGCCGAAGCTCCGACGATCTCGAGAGAAGACTCGGCACTCCTCGACACTCCTCGACAGGACCTCACAAAACTAAACCTTGGCACTCCTCGACAGGAGGGCGCCAGCAGTACTGCCTTCCGGCAAACGTCGGCGAACGGCCGACGTTTGCCGATGAGCACCTGGCGGGCGAGGGCCTCGAACCCGTCAGCCCAAGATGAGCAGCATCGCGAATTGTATAGCATTCTCCCGAAATGGGAGCACAACTGCTGGCGCACGGGACAGAAGACGATCTCGTGAGAGGATGCGGAGCCAGAGTAAGGAGAGATGATGACGAAGAGGGGTAAGGTGGATGAGGAAGGGAGACAGAGAGAGGGGGATGATGAGAAGAAGGGGGAGCAGGAGGAGAAAGGAAATAGGCGCCAGCGGGGGCCCTGCTGATGCGCGCAGAAGGTTGGGGCAGAACATGTGCTGCCGACCTCGCTGGGGATGAAGCCGGGGGTGTTAGAGAGGCGTTCAAGGAAGGATGGAGACTCATCGCCGCATGAGCCGGCCCGGGCGGACAGGGCACGGGGGGGCCCGGGCTGCATGCCAGCGGTCTGGCGGCCCAGCTCGCTGGACGGCCCACAGGTCCTCGGACACGCCCGCCCAGCTGCGGCTGCTGAAGCCAGACGTCCTGTCCTCCGCCCGCATGCGTCCTTGGCCAAGGCACAGGGTGTCGAGAGAGAGATCCCTCGACTGGAGCACTCAGAGCACATCGAGAGAGCTTGATATCGTACAGCTGAGTCTTTGATTGGACACGTCGGCCCAGCTGCGGCCGCCGTCGCCCGACGTCCAGTCCTCCCCGCCGCTGTCCGTGGACGAGCCCTCGCTGGTGTCGTCGGGCGTCTCCGTGAGGCTGGCCTGGGCGTGCGCCGGCGCGGCGCCCAGCGCGGGCAGCCTCGGCACCGGGGGCAGGGCGTGCAGCAGCGGGCACCGCCTGCCCCTGGAGCAGTGCCCCGTGCTGGTGCGGCCTGCAGCATAGCTCCCTCCTCCTCCTCCTCCTCCTCCGCCTCCTCCTCCGCCTCCTCCTCCTCCTCCTCCTCCTCCTCCGCCAGCCTCCGCCTCCTTCTCCTCCTCATCCTCCCCCTCCCCCTCCTCCCCCTCCCCCTCCTCCCCCTCCCCCTCCTCCCCCTCCTCCCTCCTCCTACTCCTCCTCCCTCCTCCTCCTCCTCCTCCTCCTCCTCCTACTCCTCCTCTCCTCCTCCTCCTCCTCGCCGAGCCTGCAAGCGCGGGCGGGCCGAGGGGCCAGACATGCCGTCGCAGGCGGTGCTCGGGAAAGAGGCCTCGCCTTCCCGAGAGCCGAGGGCGGGGGCCCTGGGCCAGAAATGGCTTGAGCCCAACGGAAGAGAAGGAGGAGGAGGAGGAGGAGGAAGAGGAGGAGGAGGAGGAGGAGAGGAGAGTGGGGAGGAGGACGAGGAGGACGAGGAGGAGGAGGAGGAGGAGGGAGGAGGAGGAGGAGGAGAGGGAGGATGAGGAGGAGGAGGAGGAGGAGGAGGAGGAGAGGAGGAGGAGGAGGAGAGGAGGAGGAGGAGGAGGAGGAGGAGGAGGAGGAGGAGGAGGAGGAGGGAGGAGAGGTGAGGGAGAGGAGGAGGAGGAGGAGGAGAAGTCGGGGCGTGTGGTGCTCTTCAGGTGGTTGGCGGCGGTGGTCCCAGAAAGGGCTGAATACGTCAGGTTCGCGTCGTGCCGACTTCGGCGTTGGTTTCTGACACCGCGGGGATCGTTCGACCTTGAACGATCGGCCGTTTTCGTGACGTCCAAATCGATCCACATCGAACGATTCTGGGTCGCCCGCGGCGTTCAAAATTGAACGCCGCTGGCGGGGTCGCCGCTGGTCGACACGACACGAATCTACCGTACGGAACTTCGTGAGATGAGGTTGGAAAACGGAAGAGAGATGCGAAGGCGGACAAGGACCAATGAAAGTCCCAAGATGCATCAGCAGTAATACACCCCCTCTCCAAGGTCCCTCTTCAGAGGTCCCTCCAAACGAATGTTTCCAGCGCGGGAAGTGCCACATTGAAAGACAAGTGTCAGAGAAATCTGCGCGGAGCTCCGAAAAAGCTTATGCGTATGCAGGGTTGTCTCCTTCAAAGGAAGAGGCATACTAAAGAAAAAGACAGAGGAGGAGGAGAAGGAGGAGGAGGAGGGGGAGGAGGGAGAGGAGGTGGAGGTGGAGGAGAAGAGAGGAAGAGAGAGCAGGAGGGGAAACCAGAAGGAGAAGGTGATGAACTATGTTAGAAGAAACAAGACGTTTCAACAACAAATCCCGGACAACTCCACGGCCAACCCGGACAACCCCTCCGAGATGGAGACCACAAGTGCCCTAGCATGCAAGTGTGGCCAACCCTTGAGCGAAAGCACCGCTCCCTACCAGGGATGTGGCCGGCGCACTGGAGAGAGCACCTTTTTCAATCAGGGATGTGGCTGGCGCTCAGGCGAGAGCAACATCCAGTGCTCGGGTGACAGCTCACTTCCCAATCGAGAGTGTAGTCACCGCTCAGGCGACAGCACCATTCCCGTTCAGGGATATGGCAAGCGCTCCAATGACAGCACCATTCGCCACCTTCCCCCCGATTCCGTGGGAGTCTGTGTCTGCTCATCCTTGGGTCAGGGCATCTTTGTGCACAGAGTTGCGAGGCAGTCTCAGGCAAAACGGCTGGACAACCTCACGCGCAGCATCTCAGAAGCAATAGTTTCGAGGATGTCTCAGGCGAAACTGGCTGGACAACCTCAGGTCAGGACATGCCATCCCCGAGCTCAGAATTGCGAGGATGTCGCAGGGGAAAGTGGCCGGACGCTGAGGAATGAGGAGAAGGCTGAAGGCTGAAGAATGAGCAAGCTCAAGAGAGAGCTTGGGTAGGGTTGCGCCTGGACAACCACCGGACAGCCCCCCGGACAACCCCCCGTACAACCCCCCGGACAACCTGGTTGACAACCCCCTGAACAGTCCCCTCGAGAATCTGGCGTGCGGGGGAAAGGCCTTGTCCTTGCATTGGGGGTCGCAGGTGGCTCCCTTCTTTCGGACCACCTGAGGTCAGGGCATCTCTGAAAGCCAGGTTGCGAGAACAGACCACCTCGTGGGCGGCATCTCCGAGCCCAGACTTGCAAGGATGTCGCAGGCGAAACTGGCCGGAGCACCTCAGATCTGGGCATACGTGAGCCCAGCGTTACGAGGGCGTCTCAAGCGAAAGTGGCAAGACAACCTCCTCATTTCGAGCATGGCGCTGGTCCCGCGGCTGGAACTAGCTTCTACAACTACAGGACTCCAACCAGCCACGCTTCGTGGGGCACGACGATCAATGAGGAGGTGCGAGCGGGAGCGGGAAGACGCGAGAGAGGAGGAACGAACAAGAGGGGAAGGAGGAGAGAGGCGCCCTTTCCAGCTGGGTTTTACTTGCTGTGCCATGCTTCTGATGATATGGATGATTGAAGCATAAGCGTGCGCTGGCCAACCGGCACGGCCAGGACAACCCCTTGGACAACCCCGCGAGGAACCGGACAACCCCCCCCTGGACAACCCTCCACTGATTTTTTTCATACAAGGCAAGGCCCCACTGAGGCCGAAGCTCCGACGATCTTGGGAGAAGACTCGGGACTCCTCCTCCTCCCTCCTCCTCCTCCCTCCTCCTCCTCCTCCTCCTCCTCCTCCTCCTCCTCCTCCTCCTCCTCCTCCTCCCTGGGGCTCCCCCCTCAAAACTAAACCTTGGCACTCCTCGACAGGAGGGCGCCAGCGATGATGCTCTCCGGCCAACGTCGGCGAACGGCCGACGTTTGCCGATAAGCACCTGGCGGGCGAGGGCCTCGAACCCGTCGGCCCAAGAAGAGCAGAATCGCGAATTGTATAGAAACCTCCCAGAATGAGAGCGCAAATGCTCGCGGATAGGAAGGAAGCACGATCTCGTGAGAGGATGAGGAGCAAGAGCAAAGAGGGATGATGACGGAAGAGAGGAGCGAGGCGGATGAGGAGGAGAGAGGGGGGGGAATGATATGAAGGGGGGCAGGAGGAGAGAGGAAGAGGAGCATGATAAAGAGGACGACGGGGACGTGGAAGAAGGACCGAGCGGGAGGAGAACATACGAAGAACATGGAAGACCAAAGAGGGAGCAGTGGGGAAGAGGAGGGAGGGGTGAACGATCAGGAGGGGCAAACGGAGGAAGAGGAGGATGAGAGACGAGGAAGAAGGCAGATAGGACTGGCGATACCGACGTGGTCGGGGAACGGTGTGAGCAAAAGCATGGGAAGGATGTGGAATGAGGAATCAGGAAGGAAGAGGAGGAAGAGGAGGAGGAGGCGACAGGAGGCACGCGGATGTGGAAGATCACCTGTTTCGCATGCCGATTCTGGAACCCGGCTCCACATGACTCGAGACACACGTAAAAACTGGCTGGGCAGAACATGCGCGGCACTGCTTCGGCTGATGAAGCCGGCTGGAGCGCTCGCAACTCAGCCGCTGGGGAGGCAGCCAGGAGCTACGGTCAAGGTCTCGCAACCCTTGGCCATGGATGGCCAGATCCGCCGGCCTCCTTGCGGGGCGAGGGTGAGGATTTCAGCTCCCTGTTCCAGCTGCAATTTTCAGTTTCCACTGTTACAATCCTGCTTTTTGCTTCCGTACTGTTCATTGCTGCTGTCCGCGCGAGGGGTGGGAACCGCAAACAAGTTTTTTTCACACAAAACAACACACGCCCTGGGAGGGTCCTCAGAACTCGTGGGGGGGCGTGGGACACCTAAAAATACATGACATTCGCGTCGCCATACTCGCGTCCCCGAAAGCATAAGCCTTCTAAATTAAACCATATTCGCGTCCCCGAAACCATAAGCCATCGTAAATTACGCAATGGGTGCGTCCCGGAAGCCACAAACCATCGTAAAGTATATCATATTTTCGTTCCCGAAGCCAGAAATCGTCAAACAAACTAAATACTCGCGCCCCCGAAACCATGAACCATCGAAAAGTATACAGTATACGCGTCCCCAAAGCCATAAGCCTACTATATTACACCATCCTTGCGTCCCTCCCCGAGGCAATAAACCTTCGCAGCGTACGCAATGTTCGTGTCCCCGAGGCGATACACCGTCGTAAAGTATGCAATAGTTGCGCCCCCGAGGCCATTCACCTTCTGTAGTGTGTGCAAGATTTGCGTCCCCGAGGCCACAAACCCTCGTAAATTATGTAATGTTCGCGCCCCCGAAACACTAAACCCTGGTGGATTACGCAATACTCGCGCCAACGAAACCATGAACCCTCGTACATTAATTTTGGCACTCGCGGGAAGCCCTGACATTGCTTCACGTCAGCGTCCAGACATCCCAACGCAGTTCTGGCAAGTCCCATTCTAAGAGAGGGGGGCCGGCGGCCCCTGAGCGAAGCCCTCACGGATAAAGAATCTGACCGAACAATAACAGGAAACGTCGTTGCATCTACGGAGCCTGATGGAACGTTTCGTCGCGAACTCTGAAAATGGCGGCTGGTCTGATGTGCTGGTCTGCCGTGCTGGTCTGCTGTGCTGGCGTGCCGTGCTGGTGTGCCGTGCTGGTGTGCCATGTTGGTAAGCCCTGCTGGTCTGCCGCGCTGGTCTGCACAATTGGTCTGCCGTGCTGGTCTGCCATGCTGGTCCGCCGTGCTGGTCTGCCGTGCTGATCTGCCGAACTGGTCTGCCTTGCTGGTCGGCCGTGCTGATCTGCCGTGTCAATATACCGTGCTGGTCTGAATCGCGCTGATCTGCCGTGCTGGCCTGCCGAACTGGGCTGTGCCGACTTAGTCTGCCTTGCTGGACTGCCGTGCCGACATGCCGTGTCTGTCCGCCGCGCCAGTCTGCACAACTGGTGTGCCGCGCTGGTCTGCCGCGCTGGTCCGTCGTGCTGGTGCGCCGTGCTGGTCTGCCGCGCTGCTCTGAATCGTGCTTGTCTGCCGCGCTGGAGAGGCGCGCAAGCTCACCCTCGACCCGCGCGGGGGGGGGGCCTCGGGCCGCCAGCCGATGCCCCGAGACAGGACGGCCCCAGCCCGCGAGACGAGGCGGCGGAGGCGGAGCAGCCGAAAGGCTCGACGTTGGCCCCCCGCCCCCACGCTGGCACACCCTGCCTCGGACATGCAAGGATCTCAACTGCACCGCGGCACCAGCGCGCGACGACGAGACAGGAGGGCTGCGCTCGCACAACAGACCGGCGCGGAGCACAGCTGTGCCGAGGCCAGCACGCGCCGCCCTGTCGGACACGATCGCGAGGCTCAAGTGGCCCGCGGTCCGCCTCGGCCTGCAGCCGTTCACTCACGCCCAGCAGCGGCCGTTGCTGAGGACTCGCCCGCGCCACCCGCCCAGCGGAGGCTCGCTCTCCGCTCCGCCCGCCGCGCGCGCGCGGAGGGCCCGCGGGCACCTCGGCCAACGTCATCGCTGCTGGCGTCGCCTCCTCTGCGGCGCCGCAAACGGCGGCGCGCGCGCCTGCGCTCCTGGCCGCTGGCTGCAGCCGCCGCCCAATCAGCCATCTCGCTTTCGTCGAAGCCGCAGGCCGCGAGGCGGCCAGGGCGACCTCCCGCCGCAGGCACCCCCACGCCGCTCAGAGGGGGCCTGCGCCGCCTCCGCCTCGGCGTCGCTCGGGGCTGCGCGTCGTTTGCCCGCCGATGGGCCTCCTGCTCCACTGGTGCTGGCAGCCGCTTCAGGGGCGTCGCCCGCGTCGCCCTGAACGCCGAACCAGGCCAGGCAGCGCCGGCGCGCGTCCTCGGGGACGGACAGCACCTCGCGGAGCTCGCGCGCCTCTTGGCCCAGCTCCCGCTGCCGCGCCAGCCTCTGGCGTCCTCCAGTGTGGAATCCGCAATCCCATAGCCCCCGCCATGCGGCGAGGGCCTTGATCACCGTGGCCCGAGCGTGCCCAGCGCGTGGGCTCTTCAGCTTTCGCTGCGCTCCGCTGCATCCTCCAAGCCGCATGTAGGCCCCGCAGCCGGCGCGCGCCACAACCTCCTCCTCCTCCTCCTCCTCCTCCTCCTCCTCCTCCTCTTCCTCCTCCTCCTCCTCCACCTCCTCATCGTCGCCTTGCCCGCGGCGGGCGCAGGCGAGCGCGTGCCCGAGGATGGCGGAGGCCGCCGTCCTCGCCGCCACGCCGCTGGCCGCTGCCGCCGAGCGGACCCCTCTGGCCGCTTGCGCTTGGTCTCCTGCGGGTGGCTGGAGCCTCCTCGGCAGGCTCCGCGAACTGGACGCGGTGCCTCTCGCCGCCCTCAGGTGAGCCCTCGGCGTCCTCGACCTCTATGCCCTGCAGGATACTTGAGGCCTGGCCCATCTACCTCGCCAGCTCGTGGGCCACCTTGGCTCAAGCGTGGTGCTCGCTGACCGTGGCCTCGTCGGCCATGTGCAACCGAACCCCGGCCTTGGCCAGCCTGTCGGCGCGCTCGTTGCTGCGCCGCTGGGCCCCTGTCAGCTTCCCGCCTAGGACGGCCTTCCTCGTTGCGCGCGCTGGCATTTTGTTCGCCGCGAAGGCCCCCTGCTCGGAGGTCGCGCGGGCCCTCGCCCATTGGTGGGCGTTCGGCCCGTGGGCGGCTGCGGCGCAGGCCCCCCCGCGCTGCAGGCGCGACTCATTGGAGCTGCAGTCGACGTTGAGCCCCGCATACTTGCGCAGCATCCAGACCGTGAAATCCTCGCAGTGCTTGGCCGTCTGCTGCGGGCGCAAGTCCCGCCGCGCCGCGCCGCGCATCCCCGCCGCCAGGTTGCCGTCGTCGTCGCGCTGCGCGATCGCCCAGCCAGCCCTGCGCAGCGCGCCGTGGTTGGGCTCCGCAGCGGAGTCGTCAAGGCACAGCTTCCACTTCAGCTCGTCGCCGTCGGGGCGCTGCTTCCACTGCGCCTGCGCGGCGTCGGCGCGGGGCCCCTGCTGCGCGGGCGGGGCGGGGGGCCAGCGCCTCGCGAAGTCCTCGCCAACCCCCTCGCCGCGGGCTCGGGACTTGGCCGCGCAGACGGGAAGCTGTCTCGCCGGTCACTCTCGAGAACGGGGCGCTCGAACAACCTGTGCCATAGCGCCCCACGGGCCGCCCCGCACGCGCAGCACCTGCAGCGCCCCCGCTGGCCAGCGCGCTGAAACCGCACCTGGGGCCAGTGCGAGTTGGAGCCGTGAGAGAAACGAAGGCCGCCTGCCCCCGCGCGCCCAGGTCCGCGCTCGGCCCTAAGAGGCTGGCGACAGCGCCCCAGAAGAGGGGCCCACGGCAGCCCCCTATCATTGGCAACCCTCGCGAGCTCGCGGCGGTCGGAGGCGCGCCTCGCACCCGGGCCAGCCTCGACGCCGAGCCCCCGTCGGGTCACGAAAAGCGAGGTCGAGCTTGCCCCCCTGGTCGGCGACGAGAGATAAGGTGTTACTGCGGCCCGTTGGTTGTTAGTGCGGCCCGGTGGGTGTTAGTATGGCCAGGGTCCTCCGGAGTGTATTAATTATCGAGTACGGTGAAGGGGGGGGTCCAAAAAGGCTCTGCCCCCCCCACCCATTCACCGAAGAGCCTCTCGGAAGAGCCTCTGGTCCTCTCCGAAGAGCCTCTTGGAGCCACCGAAGACCTTTTTGCAGCCGCCTAAGTTGGGCTCTCCGAAGAGCCTCGTGGGGCCTCCGAAGATCCTCTTGGGGCATCCGAAGCGCTTCTTGGGCTCGCCGAAGAGCCTCTTGGGCTCTCCGTACTACTACTACTACTACTACTACTACTACTACTACTACTACTACTACTACTACTACTACTACTACTACTACTACTACTCTGACTACTACTACTACTACTACTACTACTACTACTACTACTACTACTACTACTACTACTACTACTACTACTACTACTACTACTACTACTACTACTACTACTACTACTACTACTACTACTACTACTACAACTAATACTACTACTACTACTACTACTACTACTACTACTACTACTACTACTACTACTACTACTACTACTACTACTACTACTACTACTACTACTACTACTACTACTACTACTACTACTACTACTATCACTACTGCTACTACTGCTACTACTACTACTACTACTACTCGTCGTCCCCCGCGCCCTAGGGCTAGCACTCCCTAGCGCCAGTATTTCCTAGGGCTAGCGCTCCCTAGCGCCAGTACTTCCTAGCACTCCCTCGGACTAGCACTCCCTAGGGCTAGTATTCCCTAAGGCTGGTACTCCGTAGTGCGAGTACTCCCGAAGACGAGTACTCCCTTGGACAAGTACGCCCTAGGGGTAGTAATCCCTAGGACTGGTACTCCCTGGGGCTAGCACTCCCTGCGGCTAGTACTCCGTGGGACTAGTACTCCCTACGAATGATACTCCCTAACACCAACACTACAGCACCATAGTACTGCCACACTACAGCACCACTACCACAATATCAGTGCCACAACACCACAACACTGCTACCACAACACCACAACACCGCTACCACAATACCACAACCACAACACCACAACAGCGCTACCACAATACCACAACCACAACACCACAACACCGCTACTACAACACCACTACCACAGCACCACTTCCACTACCACAACACTACTACCT